CAGCTGCAATTGCAGGTTTTCAAACAGAGATGGCGACAAAGAGGCAAAACTTACGGACTGCAGCTTTAAAATTATTTTTGGATTTTTTTTTCAAATTTTAGATTCTAAATGTTGGATTTTAATTGTTAAACTTGTAAAATATAAAAAAGGTAAAAGTTAAAAACTAGAAAATTTCTGGGAACTTTAAAGCAGGTGTTCTTTTAGTATCATTGAGATACTATTATAGTTTTTATAAATATTTTGAATCCGTTTTATTTTTATATTTTCCGTTTTCATTTTTATATTCGTTAAGATTTTAGTAATTTTTTTGTGTGTGTATATATATATATATATATATATATATAGAGAGAGAAAAATTGTTTATATATACTTCTGCAGCCAAACTGTTGTACTCTGCTTGTCCTGATGTGTATTCAGCTAAATATAATTGATTATTTTGTATGTAAATCAGAGGGCTGCAGTATGGATCAGTCGTGTGCGGATGGGGACGCTGACGGTCCAGCCACCACTCAACCTGCCAGTAGCCAAGATCTTCTGCTGAAGCTGCTGCAACTGTCAAACCACGCCCACCCCTTCAGACTCCACCAATGAAATGCTCACAGAATTGTGACATCATCTCAGGAGGAGCCGCTCACCAACCACAATGACTCATCACCGAATTTTTGTAAACCAACTTTGTATAGCCGCTAGGTATTTGTATAGCTAATACATAGAAGCGGATATTAGTAGTGCTGTATTGATGATAGCTTGACTGTACGTTTGTGCAGCTATTAAACTCTGAGAGAATTCCTCTGCTGCCGTTTGAGGAGGAGATCGGCCAGCATCCGTCTCTGGAGGATCTTCAGGTTCTGGTGGTTCATAAGAAGATGAGGCCTGTGTTTAAGGACTGCTGGCTCAAGCATTCAGTGAGTGACGCGCTCCAGTCTCTTCTTACTAATACAAAACCATACGGATCAAATCATCTGAGCACAGTTCTTTTTCATACAACCAGGAAGATTTTTAGTTAGTTTGCACAATAAAATATATATATATTTATTTTTTATTTATTTTATATATTTTATTTATTCATAAAATATTATATTTTATTTATTAAAAAAATAAGTAAATACCAACAAAATTTAAGGATCAATACTAATACCAGAAGTAAATAGATATGTAAAGTTGACTTGAAATGTAATATTTATTTTTACAATTTTCACACTGACACAGCATAAAACATTATCTAGGTTTAAATAAATCAAATGTCTGTATGTACACCATACCCGATTTAAAATGGGCATTTTGGCCTGTTCAGCTTCAGAAGTCTTGACCTTCTTAGCTATCTCTCAGCTACAGTTATAATCATTCAACAATGCCATTTAATTATGAGTAGGTAATTTTTTAAACATATATATATATATATATATATATTTTACACATTTTATAAACTGCATAGACCGATTATAATACAATATTTTATTCTTCCAAACATAAAAATAATGAAATAACAACAACAACAAAAATTAACTAGATGCTTAAAATTCACTTTAATTTCCAGAGTAAAGGCGCCATTACCTAAACATTATGACTTTAGGTTTACAAATAAGTCTTAGAACTCTAAAAAATAAAATTAATGCAAAATTAATTAAAATTAATAATTTTTACTGTGAAAATTGTGCTGTGAATGTCAGCATTGTCTGGCAAAAAAAAAAAAAAATTGATCCAGTGAAACTTTACAATTTTTTTTTTACATTTTAAAAATTAAACATTTAAATGTAAAAATGATAAAAACTGAAAACTAGAATTCTAAAATATTAGGGAACTTCAAAGTAGTGTTATTTTAGTATAATTGAGATACTATACATTTTTATTAATACGTTTTTATTTTTATCTTTTACATTTTCATTTTAATTCTAGTTAAAATTGTTGTAATTTTCTTGTGTGTTTTTGTAATTTTTAGTAGTTTGTTTTTTTCTATATTTTTATATTTCAATTTTTTTCTACAGTTTTAGTACATCACGCTAAACTAAATGAAAATGAGAACCGTTGCTTTTGAAACTAGCTGTGATAAGTTTGTCCAAATGTGACCCTGGAGCACAAAACCAGTCATAATGGTCAATTTTCATCTGAAAGCTGAATAAATAAGCTTTCCATTGATGTATGGTTTATTAGGATAGGACAATATTTGGCTGAGATACAACTATTTGAAAATCTGGAATCTGAGGGTGCAAAAAAATCAAAATATTGAGAAAATCATCTTTAAAGTTGTTCAAATGAAGTTCTTAGCAATGCATATTACTAATCAAACATTAAGTTTTGATATATTTACGGTAGGACATTTACAAAATATCTTCATGGAACATGATCTTTACTTAATATCCTAATGATTTTTGGCATAAAAGAAAAATCAATAATTTTGACCCATACAATGTATTGTTGGCTATTGCTACAAATATACCCCAGCGACTTAACACTGCTTTTGTGCTGCAGGGTCACACATTTTACTGTATTTCGGTTCACACAGTTCAGATAGATGGTGTGTTTGTGCGGCGCAGGGTCTGGCGCAGTTGTGCGAGACGATCGAGGAGTGCTGGGATCACGACGCGGAGGCACGGTTATCAGCCGGCTGCGTGGAGGAGCGAATCTCTCAGATCCGCCGCCTGGCGAGCGTCACTACCTCAGACTGCCTGCTTTCCATATCGCTCACCAACGTGGACCTGCCTCCCAAAGAGCCCAGCATCTGACCCTCCGATCTCAAACCACATCGGAGCAGCTGCTATTCTATCCTAACGTTTTTAAACTTTATTATTATTATTGTTATTGTTATTTTTCTGATCGGATCAGTAACTACCAGCACACTTCTCTACTGTATTTTTATCATCAGAGCAAACGCAGAAGATTTTTAAACATGCATTCAGGTGCCGACAAATGAATGCCGACCGGCGACGTTTCAGTTCTGCCGATTCCGTTGATTTTCCTCGCTCTTCTTCTTCTGGATTTTTTTCCAGATCGACGAGCAACCAAGATTCAACAGTGCTGCAAACCCCGCGAGGATCATGATGACTGTTACACGCGCAACCCGACCTCCTCGCCGGGATTTCGCTTTTTATTTCTCTCTCTCTTTTTCTTTCTGACAGTGTGCTGTTTGGAATTACGGAAAACGTGTCTTTTAGGGAACTAACGGGTGTTGAGGAACACAACGGAGAAGACATCTGGACTAATTCCTTTCTTTCTTTCTTTAGTTTCGGTTTTATTTCGTGGTGGGCTTTTATCGAGTGGATATGGCTGGAAACTCTTGCATGTGGAAATATGGGAGGTTTGGTACGGAAATCTTTCTCAGGTATCCAGTGTCAAGGGGTCCATGACTGCCTTTCCCACGTCATTACAGGACAGAGAGAAATATAACGGTGCCCTGATGAATTTAACACTAAACATGCAAGACCGTGTGTGTGTGTGTGTGTGTGTGTGTGTGAGTGTGTGTGTGTGAGAGTGTGTGTGTGTGAGTGTGTGTGAGTGTGTGAGTGTGTATGAGTGTGTGTAT